GACAGCCCCCAGGGAATGGCTGGAGCTGTGTCAGGGCAGGCTCAGGGTGGATCTCAGGGAAAGGTTCTTCCCCCAGAGGGTGGTTGGCACTGAACAGGCTCCCCAGGGCAGTGGGCACAGCCCCAAGGCTGCCAGAGCTGCAGGAGGGTTTGGATGATGCTCTGGGGCACAGGGGGTGACTCTTGGGGCTGGGCCTGTGCAGGGCTGAGGGTTGGACAGGATGATCCTTGTGGCTCCTTTCCAGCTCAGCATATCCTGTGATTCTACATCTTCCCATATCTGAGATAACACAAAGATAAGCAAACAAAGCTTTTAAGAGCCCTTCTGGGAACAGAAGAGAGCTCTGAGGTGCCTTTGAGTAGCTGCTTTGTTAGAAGCTGAAGGTGTGAACTGAACCCCAGCCCAGTGCCGGGAGTGAGCAATTCCTGTGTTCTCATTTTGAAGATCAAAAAGCTAGTCATGGATGACAGTGATTTGTACCGGTGCTGTGCTGTCAATGAATATGGAGAAGCTTCCTGCTCTGTTGGCCTCAGGATCATCCAAGGTAGGGCTGACAGGGTGGACTCCAGAGGCCCCGTGGTTCCAAACAGCTCCTCTGGGGTGGGTGCCCCAGGCTTTGTCTGAGTATCCTCCCTGGGAAGGTCTGTTATTCCCCTCACTGAGGACTGGAGGTCTTTGGTGGCTTCGTGGCACTGGGAGCTTTAAGGCAAGGGAGAAGAAAGTGGAATTGTGGTCACTGCACTGGAGGAAAACCTGCCGCTCTGGATTTGACTGGGCTCAATCCTTTCCTTATATTGATGAACAAATCAGTCCTTTGGGAGGGGTCCCCTGCTTCCCTTTGTAGTCAGTGGAGAGAAATGGGCATTTTGTGGGTCAAATATAACTGATATTCTTGGAATCTCTTTGAGCAGAAGGTGGACTATGTTGGAAGTGTCCTGTAAATTAAGTTTAGAAGGCACCTCTCTGCAGTTGGTCACTTCCACCGTGGCTCCCCATCTCCAAAACAAGATGTTAATGTTTCCTCTCCTTGCTTAAACCATAAAGATCATGGGGCAGAAATATTCTCTTCCTCTGTGTGGAACATCTAGTAAGCACAGAGTCAATTGCAATAGGAATATCACATTTATAGATGGAGATTCCTGGGAATCAATGTCAGATAGACAAAAATCCAAACTGGGGTTTCCCCTTATATTGGGAACAGATACTGAAGTTTCATGATTCATGATTCATTGGCTTACTGCTGTTTGGTCATCTTATGACTTGTTTTCCTTCTGTTTTCTCTTATAAACTGTCAGTTGGCTTTAAGAGGAAAGCAAAATATGTTCCTGTTCATGCTGCTGATGGTAAGATAAAGATATATATTATATCATATCATATCAAATCATTATATCATATAATATTATAGAATATTATATTATATTATGGGGGAGGCATAATTAATAATACTCTGCCACATTATCCCAAATCTGTAAAGACTAAAGTGAGAAAAAGATTAATAAATCTCTAATGTTCTGTCATCTCTGCTTGCTCTTTACCTTTGGGTGAAGTGATGATGTTAAACATGGCTTTGAACTGTTCTAATTAGTGCTAGAGAAGGATTTTGGGATGTCAAACATAGCTGGATAAGAAATGTTAATATGGAAAATAGTGGGTTACTGGAGGACAGCCCTTTAGGGAGCACTGAACTTTATTAGCACTCAAAGGATGAGTCTGGCAGTGAGAACTGACTACAAGTTTCAGGACAGTTTGTAAAGTGTGAAAAAAATCACCAGAGCACAGCAGAAAGGGCTGTTGTCAGAGGTTGTTTTGCATTATCTTCTCTTTGGGGATGTATTTTACAGTGCTGGGTATCTGAATGTTTGCTGTTTCCCCCCACCCTCTAACAGAGCTGAAGAAGACACTCCAGGACTCCAAGAAGATGCTGAGGAAGAGGTAAGTCTCCATAGTGAGGGCCATTGTCACACTTCTGGAAGTTTGTTGATGACAGGGGACAACTTCATAGACCTGCAAAGCAACACTTCTTGTTTCCAAAGTTGTGGTGAGATTCCCTATGGAGAGACACCCCAGGACAAGCTGGCACTGCCTGTGAGGCTGAGATAAACACCAGGCACCAACCTCATTTAGAGAGGAATGTCCCTCTGCAGATTTTGACTGAAAAGATATGTTTCTCTGCTTTCCTGTGTTTACCTCACGAGTTATTTCCTGGCCAAGTGACAAATCTTCATGTCCTGGTGGTTCTGGATGATCAGGGTGAGCCCTGGCTCCCTGGCCAGGTGTACATGGTTCAATCCCTTCCCTTCCCAGCTGGGAACCTCCAAAGATTGCCTGATGGGAATGATCTCTGGCCAGTGCAGTCTTTGTTCCAAACTCTGCCAGTGACTCTGCTGATAATGTAACAGTGTTGACAGTTGTTCCCTGTCATCATTTAATTCATGGTATAGATGCAGAAAACCTCTTCTGGAGAAGCCCCATTCTTTCCTGCCTATGCCTCCAGGGCCAAGTGAACTACAGAAATGATGGAGAGACATGAAAGAGAATCAAGTATAGAAAACAACAAGACATATTGTTATCTGTCAAAATATCTAGATTTTTTTTCCCTCCCTGGTTCCAAGGGTTGTAGCACCAAAACCAAAACCCCTGGACAAAGAAGCCGTGTGGCAGCTGTTGCTCCACGCAGACAAGAGAGACTATGAGAAAATCTGTATTAAATATGGAATTGCTGACTTCCGTGGGATGCTGAGGAAGCTGCAGGAGCTGAGGAAGGACACAGAGAATGAACAAGATGAGGTAAAATAAACTGAAACCACTGATTTTTAACAAACTGCAGAGCCCTCAGTAGCTTCTGACAACAGGCTAAATCTTTGTAAAATGAAAATCTTACTGGAGAGAGAGTGATTTATGACAATGTTTAAAGAATTATCACTTTACTCCTGCAGATGAAAACGCTGATGACTTTTTTGAAAATTAGTTCATAGATTTTAGGAGATACTGACCATAGGGGGGTTCAGTTGCCTCTGATGAGAATTTGGACCCAAAATTGAAAAGTTATATGCTCAAGAGTCAAAACTGGCCTTGCCATACAGGGGCATGTGGAAACCTGCATGGACAGCGTGTGAATGACCAAGAGGCAGCACGTACAATATAATTTCTATACAGGAGGAATCCATGGAAGCTCACAAAAACATCTGCACACATAACATTAGAGGTAGCTCTATCTGCAGATAAAAAGTAGATTTCACATTATTTCAACAGCTTAAGAACTTCTGTCACGGCAGCTTTATAATTCACGAGGTTCTTCGATTTTCCTTTGCAGTTAATTCACAATATCAAAAACTTTGAACACATCAGAGTCAACAAGGAGGGAAACGCTACATTCAGCCTGGAGATGGAGCTGAAAAATAAAAACAGCAACGTGTATCTACTCAAGGTGAGGGGAGAGAGGAGATGGGCAGCAGCAGCTCAGGGCAGTTTGGGCAGTTGACTCAAGCAGTCACTGGAGTCTTCTACAGAAAATGCTTCATCTGCTGAGCAGTGGCTGAGAGCAAATAAAATTGTCTGTCCCTTGCAGAGTCGTTGCTGGGTTAGGGAGGAGTGTTGGTGTGTGTAGTCTTTGGTGGTGAATATCCCCTGGGATTTGTAAATCCAAGTACAGGGCACACAGTCAGTTACTGACATCCTTGTCAAGGGCTCTTCCAGTAAGAGGAAGTTCATGGAGCAGTTTGAGTTGGAAGGGACCTTTAAAAGGCCAACTAGTCCAATCCCTGCCATGGGCAGGGACACCTTCCACCATCTCACTGTCCCTAACCCCGTCCAACCTGGCGTTGGACACTTCCAGGGATGGGGCAGCCACAGCTTCTCTGGGCAACCTGTGCCAGGGCCTCACCACCCTCACTGTAAAAAGCTACTTTCTTATATCTGATCTAAATTGACCCTCCTTCGGTTTAAAACCATCACCCCTTATCCTAACAGAGTCCTTCAGGCTACAGAAATCCTGCAGTTTCATATAAATTTTATTCCCTTTCTCAAAGTATTCTACTATAACTCACTTCTGTGAAAGAAAATCTCAAGGAAGTAAAATATCCCATTTAGATGTGTAGTTCCTCTGATGTGACCCCCAGGTGCTCAGTGTTGTGGATGTGTTTCTGGAAGTTAAATTTCAGTCCAACTGTGGTTAGTGGTTCTAATACAGGGGAAATCAGGATTCACTGAAGAGGTCAGACTTCTGAGTCAAAGGTATGACATGAAGTCTGTGAGCCACAATGTGGAGAATGTAACCCAGCTGTGTTCCAGAAAGTGAACTCTCCTGCTTCTACAGCTGGGAGGATGCTGAAATCTAAGCAAAGAAAGCACTTTGTCTTTGAAGTTACAGTAACTGTGCATTAGTTAAGCCTCAAACCCTTATGTGGGCCAGCAAAGAGCTGCTGTTTTGCCCAGTTTGAGAGTCTGGTGGTCTGTTCTGGGCAGGACTTTCTGCACAGATGTTGCGTAAGCAATGCGCCCTGACCACTGTAAGCAGTAACAGAGTGGAGACTTCTCTGTTGTTACTCATTTGTATCAACAAGGTGATTGTAGCACCAATTTGCCCTGATTTGTGCTCTGCTCTGGGGTGGCCTCACATGGAATATTGTGGTCACAACAATGTAAGGAAGATATGAAACCATTAGAGAGTGTCCAAAGGAGGGACATGAAGATGGAGAAGAGCCTTGAGGGGAAGCTGTGTGAGAACACTGAGGGCACTTGGTGTGTTCAGAGGAGACTGAGGGGAAACCTCCCTGCAGTTCCACCTTCCTGGGCAGGGGCAGAGGAGGGGCAGGACTGAGCTCTGCTCTGGGGGGAGCAGGGACAGCCCCCAGGGAATGGCTGGAGCTGTGTCAGGGCAGGCTCAGGGTGGATCTCAGGGAAAGGTTCTTCCCTCAGAGGGTGGTTGACACTGAACAGGCTCCCCAGGGCAGTGGGCACAGCCCCAAGGCTGCCAG